CCAACAATTCCTGAAAGTTTGGTTGAGCATATTTTATAACAACACAGGAACATCTATGTGCATATGCAGAATGGATCAGAATGTTGAGCAATCAAGAGACAGTATGTCCAAAAATTTTATGTGGCAGAAATGTGTATACTGAGATGGATGGGTGGAAAAACAAGAAAGGATAGGGTCGGAAAGATCATAAATGAAGTCGTTTGAAGGAAATTAGAAGTATCTCCAATAGGTGACAAAGATGGTTTGGTCACATGCATACAAGACCATTGACAACACCTGTAAGAAGTAATCTGTTGCAAGTAGAAGGGGATAGAGGGGCAAAGGGTAGACCAAAAAGGGCATGGGTTGAAGTGGTAAAAAATGATTTAAGCACTCATAATTTAACAAAGGATATGCCATTAAACAGAACAGAACAGCAAAACAGGATTCATATAGCCAACCCCATATAGTTGGGACAAGGATGATGATATTGTTAATCATAACCTCCCTCTCCCCCTCTAAATACAAAAGAACTAATAAAACAACATGCTTAAAACAAAAAATTGAGCATTAAGTACAAAAGGTTTACTGAGGAAAAAGTCTCATCCTAGGACGTAAAAACCAGATATAATTATAGAGATTTGAACAGAAAGTACAAAAAAGATAAAATAAAAAAAAATAGAAACAGCGGTTTCATGTATGTTGTTCCAGTGTTGAAGGGCATTATAATGCTTTCAGTAAGCATTCCTAAACTTGACTAGATTAGAAGTTGGAGAATCCAGGATATATTTTTGGGAAGATGATTGGAGCAAATTGACAGACTTCGTGATTGGTTGCCTAGGCTTTACAGGTAAGTTAGAAGAAAACAAGTAAATGCCTTGAAATCAGAAATGTTAAAAGTTATTTGGAGTCCAAAATTCAGAACACCAATTGATTCATAATTTCTTACAGAGTTTGCATGGTGAGGACCTGATCGTAGCTGGAGTGACCATTTGGTTCATGTTGCCTGCTGCTGTCATTTGGACCATATGAATGGAGACAAACAGAAGAATATTTGAAAATAAATCATCTCAGACTAATGAAATAATCCGAAATATGACTACAAAGATCTTTTCCTGGGCAGAAGCTTCAAATCTTTCTACAGATTCACTATTTTGCAACTGGCACACTTTTTTTCTTTTGAATACTGTGGAATAGGAGATTCTCCCATTGTCCTCAATAGTGCAATTATACTTTGCCTATTCTCCAAAATAAATTAAGAAAACCATTGCAGGAGAAAGACGTGGATGAATGTTTGTTTCTGCTTGAAAAGCTTGAAAAACAAATAATTTCTCCAAGAAAAATAGATGCTACATGGCGGAAGGAATGTAATAATGGTCAATTGACAGTGAAGTCAAATTCTAATGCGTAACCAGGTGGATAGAACTGAATTAAAAGAAATTTGTGGAAACCCAATACCTCCTATGATGGAAAGACTTGTGTGACTGGTAGCTATTGTTGAGGATTTGCTCTTAGTAGTTACTATTATTTATTTATTTATTTGTTATTAGTTGCTGTTATTGGACCCAAGGCCCATTAGTTCAGTGTTGTTTTTAATTTCTTTATTGATGTGTTAGCAGTAGTCATCCTATTAAGGGTATATTAGATATTGCATCTCTTTTTATTCTTAAGTATAAACTTCTCTTCCCTTTCTCTTATCTTCTCCTTCTTCTTCTCTCAGGAATCCTTCTTCTACCTCTTTTCTCTTAATTCTTAAATCTTTTTTTTATTTCTGTTCTTTTCTACTTGGTATTAGAGCATTCTTTAGAGATTCTTTGAATTGATCCATGCAGTCCTAGATCAGCCAACTGTGTGGAGGAGTAAATGATACAAATATGGAATCAAAGGAAGAAATGGAAGATGAGGTCAAATAGTAGCCTTGCAAAGTGCATCATCAACCGGAAAAGAAGTGACTGTTTGACCAGTCAAATGCTGTTTGATTTTATGAAATTTGGTGGCATTAAAGTGCACTTACGGCACTCCAATATTGTAGAATTTCAGCTCAATCAAGCATGTGAAAGTGTCCCTTCTAGAGAATTTAAGTTGGTTGGATTTTGTGTTCTGCAAGCCATCGTCAGAGTCTTAGTCAACAAGTTGACCAGTATTTATAGTAATTTTCGTCATTACCATTTCTAGTAAAAGATGAATTACTATTTTTAGTAATTTTGGATTTCTTATACTTAGTGAAATTGGGGAGTTATAGTGTGCCCTAGTTAGAAAGGGAAGTGTTCTGTTGAGAGGAAGCCTGAAGAAACTTTTCATACTCATTGATTGTGCGCGATCTGGTTGCTCCTAGCTGGAGGGCAGCTCGGATGTCGGTTGCTTAGCTGGCCGGTTGAACTACAAGAAGAGAAAGGCTTAGAGAATCTGGAGTGGCTTACCCGGTGTGGGCACTCCGATGCTTAAGTTAGTACTCTTGTTTGAGTGAGCTGAATGCTTGAATGCTAGGATGCTAGTAACCAGTAAATTGCACATACCTTGTATTGTTGGGGTTGGTGCCTTTATATAGGTGAACTGCCGTGGGTCTCACAAAACACTTCCGAGATCTTCAGCCCATTCTACTAGGAGTCCGTTTCACACCTTGAGGCGGACTTCGTGCTAGCCGATAAGGCTTATCAAGTCCGTCCGATCCAGGCAGGATGAGGATAAGACCTACATACATGTTGTGCGGCGTGATCCCGTAGAGGTCGGAGACAGCTGGCTTGCTTCTAGAAGTTGGCTACGTGCCACTTCGGCAGGTCAGGCCGTCATGAGCTGTACGGACCATGGTCCTAGCTGAGGTGCCCGAGGTACTCGAGGTGACTTGGCCTACTGAGGTGACCGAAAGTGTCGAGTCATCGTCCAATCAGCAGGTCGCCTCCACGTGTCCGTGTATGAATAGGTCAAGCCAAATCACCCCTCATTAATTGCCCCCCACTCACCGTGCCAGGGGTCCTGACCCGGTGTGGGGAGTTCATGACGAGCTTAGGTGAATTTGGCCCGGTCTTCGTCCTAGTCAAGGTCCGGTCCAGAGGTCAGATCGTGATGACCCAACCGACTCAATCGTAAAGCCAGGTCACATATCGAGGACGCACAGACGTCACTCAGGTTAAAAACTCTGCGGACGTCAAAACGCGTGCTCAACCGGTTTCAACCTTGAAAGTCGTGCGATCAGTTTTCACAAGTCGTCGGATCAAACTAATCTAAGCCATCCAAGATCGACTAATGTGGCTATAAATAGGGGCCTTGGGGTCCCATTCACCTTGTCATATTCTGAATTTTCGCATTCGGGAGGTCGCGCACTAGCTTCCAGGTCGGTGGTTTTTATCTTGTCTCCGAGATTGTCCACTCCCTTAAGTAAGTCTTCTTTTCTTGCCTTTGTCTATTTCAGTCTTTCACTTCGGCATGTCTGGTAGTACAGGTAGCCTTTTTGACATGAGTGGTGAGTCCAATCGATCCGAGGAGGGCACCTCAGCCCAAGAGTTAGAATCTGTCCCAACCGACAAGGTCACATCGGCCCATAGCTCAAAGTCCAATCCAGCCGAGGTGGACACCTCGGTTCAGGAGCAGAAGGCTTCAGATTAAAAGGCGTCATCTTCTTGTCGCACTCGTCCTTCTCGGGGGCCAGATTGCTTCAGTCCTTCTATCCTGATGCCCGAGAAGATTAGTGCATTGGCTGTCCTATATAAGTTCCTCGACCACTATGGTTATAACCTACCCTTGAAAGGGTTTCCCTAGGAACACGATGATGACAAAATTACCATCTTCAAGGAGCAGTTGATTGCCGAGCTCCAATTCCCTCTTCACCCTTCAAGAAATAGTTGGTTAGCCACGAGTGTGGGGTTCCATACCCACACTCAGGCTTTAGTGTGTGCAGTGATTTAAAAGGCGCACCTAGGTGCATAGGCGAGGCACATTTTGGGGTATGCGCCTCGCCCAGGTCCTAGGCGCACCTCTTTCAAAAGGCATGCACCTGGTGCGCCTAGGTGTGCGCCTGATGCGCCTTGCGCCTCAACCCAAGCGTGCGCCTTTTTAAAATTTTGCGCTTTTTGCTTTTTTTTGAGTCTAATGGCTGGGTTGGGGGTTCAAAAGAACTAAGAGACCTGCAATTCTACAGATTTCCTAAGAGACCTGCAATTCTACAGATTTCCTACTCTTATAGGTTTAAGCCCACAACACAGTTTTTTCTTAGGTTAACCTTCAAGCTTGATACCTTTTCAAAAGAACTAAGAAGTTCTTTGAGGTACCCTAAGGAAAAAGGGCTGACATCATCACAGAAAAGAATTACGTCGTCAGCAAACTGCAAGTAATGTCATGTAACTAATATGCCTGAAATTGTTGAGCCAGCTTCTTTGTTTCAGGTTGCAGGGAATAACCATCATAAATGGTGCACCATACGTTACATATTTTAGAACTTACTAATTCTTAATGTCCTATTGGATATTATTAATAAAAACTATACCAGTCATCCCTCCTAAACAAATATTTGGATTCTTAAGAAATAAATAGAAAAATAAGTATATTGTTGAGTCAGATGTGTCGCATTGCTTCATTTAACTCACGATTGGTTTTAAAAATGTTGGCATGGAATTATTTTTTTCAATGATGTTACTGATTCTTGTGAATGCCCCTAGCCCCTTGACTTGGTTCAGTTCTTTTTTTTATACAGGTTCACTTGGCCACACAAAGCCTAAGGTAGACCATATCATCAGAATGAGAAGCAATTAGGCCAGTTGTTCAGTTTCTGATAATAACAAATTCTTCTGGAAGAACAAAGAACATAATAGCATTCTCATCAACAAAAATCTAGCAAATTAGCACCATAAAAAAACAAAAAAAAAAACAAAATTAGGATGACAAAAGTCTAGCCTCACCTTGGTGCTTTGAAAACTATGAATACATGGATCAATTTTTTAGAAGGAAAATGGAAAAAAAAAATCAAATTCCTAGAATGGCAAAATATAGTCTAGATAATGAATGGCAAGAAAGTTGAAAAAGACCTTGATTTCACCTTATCATTCTAATTCCTGAAATCATGAATTCATAACAATATTTTCAAATTGATCTACTGTGTCGGTGTCAAGCTGCTTCTCTCTTCCATGTCTAAACTAACTCCAGCTCCAAGAACCAATACTGGCAAAATGCTTCTAAGACCTGGCCGGTCAATTGTGCCATTCAACATTACTAATATGTCTCCCTCGAAGCCCCTTTGGTAATTCATTAGTTGCACCTTTTAATTTTTACTTTTTCTTTTCAGCTTGGCTACATAAGCCTTTGCCGCAACCAGCCAAACACCTTACCAAGTTGGGACCTTCAAATTTTTGGATTATATATAAATTTGAAAGCAACTTACTGTCAAGGTGAAAAGAATAAGAAACTTGAAGTGGAAGAAGTCCATGTCCTTGGAAAAGAGGTAGAGGGTATAGAGACCTTTGTTTACAAGGTGCGCTCCATGCTAGACAATAAAAACTTCAACAGCTTAGAGTGGGCAGGTAAGACGATTCAAGGAGAGTCAGATTTGATCAAATTCCATTCATAGCACGTCCAGATTTCATGGTCAGAAGATATCTGTTCACATCAAGATTGCACAAGTGGGTTTTGGGGAAATAAATAGTTAGCAGAAACATTGAACCAGAGAGAGAGGGAGAGAGAGAGAGAGAGAGAGTACTGCCTGAATCGACGACTAAGACAGTGGCCAGAAACACCAACCATTGATAACGAAAAAGGGTGGGCGGCAGCGCGCACCGTGAAAAAGGGAAAAGGAAAAGTATGTCACAGAATTTAATTGGAATTCTAAGAATTTAACTACAGAGACACGCCACTTTTTTTAGTTCAAAACCGATTTCTAAGAATTTAATTAGAATTCCAACTTCGAATTTAAACACATACACCATAAACAATATCAGAACACACATCAATAGAATATCACAGATTAAAAAATACAGAAACTGTGGGAAGAGAAAAGTATATCATAGTAACCTTTTTTTTTTTCTGAATGCCTATATAATAGCAACCTTGCTCGTCATTTGGGCATCTTAGATTTGTTGTAATTTCTCAGAAGATACAAGAATCCGCCAGTGGATTAGGCTCGATTTAGGAATTCTGAAGAGGCAAGCAGCATAGCACCATTGTAAACGTCGTTTGCCCTCTTGGGAATTCTCCCCATTGAATGAAAAAAACGAGCTTATCTATCAGATTTCAATGAGCAATAATGATGTCCTTCCTCTACCTTTCTTGCTTATCTCAGTTGTAAACGTGCTTGCAAATTTTCTGCAAAAATAAGAGACAAGGGAGAGTGTCGAAGGCAAAGGTTATTGCAACGGTCGAGGCCGGGGGAGAGAGAAAATTGCATATCGAGGTTAGTGGGGTATTTGTTTAGGGGGATCAAGGAGCCTTCACGGGTTAACGCGCGGAAATAGCATGAAACTAGTCGCAGAAGGAGACTAATGTCATTTCGAATTGGGATGAGATGGATTTAGGCCAACCAAACCAGACTTCACATCTACGCCCCACAGAGCGCAAAGGTAAAAACGCCAACATCTACATCTCAGCGTGCATTCGGAACATCTTCCATACTTATGATAGAAAAATATTCTCAATATACGGTCGGATGTATTATGGGACATTTTTGGGCGTATTCTATGGGGCGCAGATGTGAATTCACACATCTGCAATTAGAATATGAAAAAAATATGATATCTAAAAAACATCTGCAATTAGAATCAACTTGGTAGTGAATCAGGTGTAATTTATCAAAATTCATAGGTGGGTTTTGATTGGTCAAAACTCTTTTCATACCATATCTTTTTCGTATCTTAGATTTTCCCTTCACCCAAACATTGTTTTTGTGTATAAATTTGTATCAATTTTTTATTAAATTTCATTGGTTTTTAGTATTTTTACCTAAATTTTATTAATGCTTTTAAAATAAAATTTATATGGACTTTGAATTTAGTTAAATTTATTTTTGTATATTGTTTTTAATTTTACTATTGTAAATGAAACTTAAATTAATAATAATAATAATAATATGTCACAAAACTTGGCAGATCTATATATGTGATTGTGGACAATTGTCACCTTTGAGATTTTTTAATTTTTCACTATTTATCCCCACTCAAATAAAATTGCTGGGTTCAACTTATTTATTTTAATGAGAATAACGACACTCATGTCCCAAGACCTATTTAAAATCTAAAACTAAAACAAGGAGAGGTGAAGTGACTCTTATACCATCATATTTTTTCCAATATGATAACTAACAAGCATTGCCCTTTTTTAATTCTAACCATCTATTTTATTTTCAAGTTAGGGTTGGAGCCTAGGAGCAGGTTGTTGGACCATGGAAGGGGATATGAAGGGGAAAAACCAAATAAAATCCTTCCCTTCTATTTATGTTTATTCTAACATTTTTTACAAACGAAACACACTTGAGTAGATCTCTCATGGTGTTTTATAAATTACAACCCCTAGTTTTTTATACAAAAACATCCTAACCGTTTTTGTGTTGGGAACAATGTTTTATTTTCTTTTTATTTCTCTTAAAATGTTCACAGTGAAAATATATATTCTCAATTTTTGTTTTAATTACTCAAATGTTAAGATAATGCCTATTTGTCACAAGGGACAATTTTGTTGTGCCTTCAAGTACCATCACCACCACGCCCACAGGCCGCCACTCCAATGTCTAAGTGTGTGTCATGTACTCTTGTATGGAAGGATTTCCAATGGCATTTCTGTAATTATCTTAGTATGACTTTTCATATTTTTTATGTATCTTTATGTCACTCCCCCAAAAGCTTAACGTACACTTTGAGGGGAGGTAGGTAGTGAGTGAGTTCATAAGCGTGTAAAGGTTAAGCATGAGATCCCCTCGACACTGAACTGTGTGCTTGTGCTTGCCGCCTATTAATGCAATACAAGTAGCCTTTTGCTAATTCGTGTAATATTATGTTACCTTTTGTGTGTGTTTTCTTTGTTGCTTAGGCTTACTCGCCCCATTCGAGTGTCGCACGGGGCCTCGCTAATTAGCCCCGTGACAGTTGGTATCAAAGCAGGAGCTCCTTATAAGCCATTCAACCCGTGACGCGAGTGACAGCATGAAGCACAACAGGGACATCATGGAGGAGATCGAGCATGGACTCTCCACAGCCCATGAGGTCGATGATGTGCCCGCCGACGACATCGGCAAGGACAAGGCACCGAAGCCCAGCAAACATGAGAAATCTTCCAACAAGCATGCAGCCATTGACTTGCGCATGTTGTGCTGCGAAGCCATCGTAGGTGAGATGCGAGACTCGATAGACGAGCTGCATCAAAACATGGAAGCCATGGACAGTACCCTGGTCGAGATATGAGGTCGCCTGAGTGGAGTCGTGGACGAGGTTCATGACATAATCAATGGCACGCTCAAGGAAATTTTCAGCACTGCACGCCAACAAGAAGCAAACTCCTCCAACTCGTAGGTCCAAGACAGGCTCGATAGTTTTCAAGCCCAGCTCGATGAGATGAAGAAAGAGTGGGCAACGTGGAGAAGAACCATCTCCACATCAATGGTCGTTCAGTGAAGGCAGCCGCATGTGCCTCCTCCGACACCCAAGCTCAACTAGAGGAACTCAGAGCCGAATGTGCAATTCTGAAGAGGGTCGTCGCCAATCTAGCCAGCACTTCATTTGCACATACTCCCTCTCACATCAAGATTAGGGAGCCAACTCCCTATTCAGGCACCCGCAATGCACGAGAGCTTGACAACTTTGTGTGGCAAATGGAGCAGTACCTTGCCGCCGCCAATGTGACTGATGAAATGACTCAGGTGCGTACTGCTACTATGCATTTGACTGATGTCGCTATGTTGTGGTGGTGCAAAAGGTGTGTCAACATAGAACGTGGTACTTGTGTTATCTGTACCTGGGTTGACTTTAAACGAGAGCTGAAGAGACAGCTCTACCCAGAGAACGTGGAGTACCTCGCTCGTCGCAAGATGAAGACTCTCAAGCACGGCGACTCCCTCCATGAGTATGTCAAAGAGTTTTCAGCCCTCACATTAGAAGTCACTGATATGTCAAACAATGACTTATTGTTCAACTTCATGGATGGCCTAAAGCCTTGGGCCGAGCTTGAGCTCCAACGACACAATGTTCAGGACCTTGCCTTCGCCATGGCCGTGACCGAACAACTTAGTGAACGAAGACTGTCGGATGATGAAAGAAGCAAACCAGCCAGCCCGTGTACCACACATTCGAGTGGGGGAGATAGACAACCGAGTCCCCCAAAAGGAGAAGCAGCACTTCAACCACAAACCAGTTGAGCACCACAAAGGGAAGCAACCACAAGGAAGTCAAAGTTACTATAACAACAGATATCAAGGAAGACCCAGCCGTCCTCCTACTTGCTACATTTATGGGGAGGAGCACTTGACCAGGAATTGCCCAAAGCGAGCAAAGTTGAATGCCCTCATTGCCAAGCTAAGTGATGATGAGCAGAGTGATGGGGAACGGAGTACCCATGCGCCAAGAGTGGGTGCCCTCCAACTTTTCAATGCCATGATGAAGAAAGGGGCTACCTCCAAACAGCCCGCCTCAGTTAAGAGAGGACTAAGGTATGTTGATGTAACCATTGGCGGGAGGCCAACCAGGGCCCTAGTTGACACGGGGGCCACTCACAACTTCATATCCATTGTAGAGGCCAAGAGACTTAATTTGGCCATCTCCAAAGAGCCCGGCTGGCTCAAAGTAGTTAATACAGGGGCCAAACCTATTGAAGGCATGGCTCGCTGAGTAAGACTACAACTCGGTACCTAGGATGGAGAGATTGACTTCTCCATCGTCCATATAGATGATTTTGATGTTGTCCTTGGAATGGACTTCATGATATAGGCGAAAGCGGCACCAGCACCTCACCTTGACACCCTGATGATCTTGGATGAGCAGTCACCTTGCATGGTCAACATGATCGCCACAGACAGCACCAAGAAGAAGCAAGTCTCAGCCTTGCAACTCCAACACCAACCTCGACCTGTGAGGGCAAAGAGATCTACAACTACCACCATTGCAACCAGAAGTGATCGCAGCAACCCCAAGAAGAAGTCAGCGCTAGCATCAGTGCCAATGCCACCACAACTCCAGCAATAGCAGCGGAAGCCACCTTTGCAGCAGAAGCCGCCCATGCCCACAATTGAAGGGGCCAACAGAAGACCCAAGGCCGTGTCAAACTTTGTCCACATCTACTACCACAACCACCGGGGAGAGCGAGTGCCACCAAAGCCATTTAGGGACCACATTCACATCATCCCTCAGGCTAAAACCCATAGTAACCCTATGAGTCACCCTTGGGGAAAAATGCATGGGAACCAACACCTTAACAATCTAAAATATCATTTTGACCTAGCCCTGGCCACCAATTTTCCTACCACTATCAGGGAACACCCAAAATCCTACCATGAAGCAGCCAGGCAGGGACTTAACTTAGGGACTAGCCATAGGTTTTTCCCACCATAAAAAAAAACATCCACAAGCCATCTACCCAGCCTCCTATCTGGGCCTTGGAAGAAACCCTATCTGTGGATCAGTTAAAGAACCTTCCCACCAACAAGAAGTTCAAGCCACAAGCAGAAGCTGGTCTTCGAGGACAAAGACGGAGTTGAGTGGGGGAGAATGTCACAAGGGACAATTTTGCTGCGCCTTCAAGTGCCATCACCACGCCCACAGGCCGCCACTCCAGTGTCCAAGTGTGTGTCATGGGTGGGCTATGCATGTACTCTTGTATGGGGGGATTGCCAATGGCATTTTTGTAATTATCTTAGTATGACTTTTCATATTTTTTATGAATCTTTATGTCACTCCCCCAAAAGCTTAACGTACTCTTTGAGGGGAGGTAGGTAGTCGAGTGAGTTCATAAGTGTGTCAAGGTTAAGCACGAGATCCCCTCGACACTAAACTGTGTGCTTGTGCTTGCTGCCTATTAATGCAATACAAGTAGCCTTTTGTTAATTCGTGTAATATTATGTTGCCTTTTGTGTGTGTTTTCTTTGTTGCTTAGGCTTACTCGCCCCATTCGAGTGCCGCACGGGGCCTCGCTGATTAGCCCCATGACATATTGTCAACCTTAATTATTTTAATAATAAGAAACTCATTGAGAACACTAATGAAAGGTGTTAAGTGTGTAGTTGTTCCAAGTAACATCTAAGGTGTTAACTGTTAAGTGTGTAGTTGTTCCAATTAAGTGTCTCTTTAAAGTAGATAATTTCTACCAAGAGTTCAAAGGAAAAAAGAATCAAGTTCTAGTAGTTTGAATTATGTGTCTTCTCTTAGGACTTGATAATAATTTGTATTGGATGCACTTTATGGGCTTAAATATGAACTAACCTTAGGATCCAATGGCTAAAATTAGGTTTAGTTCTTAGGTGTTCCCAAACTCATTCATGGACTTAAATGTGGAAAATTTA